ATTTGTCAAAAGTAATTATTAAATTGTTACTATTTGTTACATGAACTAATATTAAATTCTAAATATCATTTTAAGGGGTCATTATTATTGCAGGTGTTTTTAATATTATTTTATCGTCATATTTTCATTCTGTAACAACAATCATTGATAATTATTTTTAATTTTTATTTATTTTTACATTATTACATAATCACAGTAGAATTATGGCATTACTATTGTAGCAAATAATTTCTTTATTTAGTATAATAAATTTATTTAACATTTTATAAGTACATATTATTGTATGTATTATTATTTATAAAAGTATATATATAATTTTATAATTGTACATTTCAATTGTACTACTGAAAATCTTACCATACTATACTAAAATTCGTAATCATATTATACTAATTTGCTATACCATAAAAAGAAAGTTAAAAAACAGATATTGTAAATAATCTATTAATAATATTGAAAATAATTTCATTAAATTTAGATTTAAGATATAAGATTTTAAACAAACAAGTAAAAATTATTTGTTAATGACAATAAATAAATAAAGATTATTATAGAATTTAATTTAATTACAAGAATATTTAATTTTATCTTTTAAAAAAGATAAAGATAACTCAGGAAATTTATTAAATGAATTTTTTTTTTACAGTGTGGATCCCTATAATAGGAACTTAGAAAATCTTAAATAAAATTTAATCCAATGCTCAAATTTCTTTTATATTTTAGTATTTGAATATATACATTTGGAAATTTATTTATGGAAAAAAATTATTTTTCAATTTATTTAAGCATCACGTGATGAAATCGAAGCCAATAAAATATATTCACATGTTTCTATATTTTTCTGTTTTTTCAACTTCGCTCGCGATTTGCGAGGCACAGAGCGATTTTCTACTAAGATATCTCCGAGATAGAAAGAAAGGCTTGATTCTTGGCTACAGAACGAGATGTGTTTCATTTCGGTAGCATCAATATTCGCGGAGTTATTCGTGTTTAATGTCGGACGTCCGTGATAAAATCGTGAGAAATTTTTTCGTCTCGAAAATTTCCACAAATTTTCGCACGATTTTTTTCACGGACGTCCGACTTTAAACACGAATAACTCCGTAAATATTAATGCTACAAGAATGAAACACATATCATTCTGTAGCCAAGAACAAGGCCTTTCTTTCTATCATAGAAATATCTTAGTAGAAAATCGCTCTGTGCCTCGCAAATCGCGAGCGAAGTTAAAAAAACAGAAAAATATAGATAAAAATTTGCGCAGATGTTGCAAATTTTCGCCTAATAAAATTTCCTGATGATATATAAAAGTATAAATTTCATTTTTTTATTCTTAAAACTTTTGTCAATGGTATTTTAACAGATGCACATATCTGAACTCATTAGAAATCCTTTTTTAAAGTAAAATTATAATGGTTAACTATTTTAGTATATTCTCAAATTTGATAAATATAATTAAATACAGGAACTTCAACTCCAGTAAAAGTTGATCAATTTAAGTCAGATCAAAACTTTAACTGATGATTCTGAAAGCTTAGATTCTGAGCTATCAATTTCTACAGTCAAAATTTTATTTCTATATATAGTAAATAAAGTTTTAATGCAAAAAGACTGAACAATTTTTATTATAACTAAGATCCTATTATAGAGGTTCTGCATTGTATCATTTTTTTCTATTTTCAAAAATTAATCCAGCAACTGGTGGTAAAGCAAAAGGTCCAAACAGTATCTTTTTTTCAATATTTCCACTTGGTGTCTTAATGTGATAATTTAAAATCAATTTATGCAGACAAATCTTGATTTCATTTATGGCAAAAAATCTGTTTAAAAAAATTTAATTTAGTTTCAATTAATAACATTAGGAAATTGCATATATTAATTAGACAAAATACCAACCTTCCAGGGCAAGCATGTTTCCCTGAACCAAATACAAAATAATTTTTATTGGTTTTTGATGCAGGAATATTATTTTCCAAACCATGATAAGGAAGGAATGACCTTGGTTCTGGTCCATATGCTGTGGTATTGTAATGAATATCCATTAAATAAGTTTGAACAGTACGACCTGTCAGATCAGATATTTATTTTTTTTAAAAAATATTAATATTTCAATTTAAATGGAAGATTATTAAAATAAATAATAAAGAAATTTCTAAAATGGAATGGTACCTTTTGGAATTGTCATGCCATTTTTAAATGTATATGATTCCATACATTTCTGAGGAATGGCAGCTATTTTAAAAAAATTATTCTCATTATTATTCTTTGGTCTTATGTATAAAAATATAAAATTTACATACCCACAAAATCAAAAGTCCTCAATGATTCTCTCAGAAAACTATCTAATTTCACCATTTTATTAATATGTTGAGGTGATAATTCTCCATTACATTCTTTATCAATTCTTACTTGTTCTTCATAAAGATCATCCCATAATTCTGGTCTTCCTGCAAAATCTATTATATAACATAAAAATAATATTAATTATAAAATGAGAGAGAATTATACAAAAATGATTATCATTTAATGAATATAGGATATCTTTTCTTTTTTTACCATAAAGAGCACAAGTAATATGATGAGAAGTAGTGTGAACAGAGGCAACAACAATAATAAATATAAAATCACAGATTTTATTCAAGTAATCATCAGTAATAATTTTTGTTCCGTATTCAGGATCATTCAAAAGATATTCAATTATATCCAACTATTGAATAGAATTAATTTTTCTTTAATAGTGTTGAAATTATGTTAGGTATGTTAAAATTTTTTTATTACTTACAGGTGGTTCATATTTATCACCAAGAATTTCTTTATCTTTCAATCTTTTCTCTAATACAGGTTTCAAATGTTTCTTTAAAGTAGTCATATGTTTCCCAATTGGATTGAACCCAAATCTAAGTGGTAAAGTGATAACTTGGGTATGTACTTTTGGATGAATGAATGAAAGAATGGGAGGTATTGCGAGAATTGATGTAAAATCTTTGGTAAACTCAGCAAAAGCTTTGACCACGTCTTCGTTTTTTGATATTTCCTTTAATATAATTTAAAGACATTAAGATATTATTCCATATTTATAATTTACAATTTATCTTACCTGTCCGACCAACACATCAGCTACTGGACGAGCGGTCATGCTTGAAAAATTATATTTCGCCGTGTTAATTAATTTAGGGTCTAAACAAATAAAACAATAATTATTATTATTGTTATTATTATTTTAAAAAAATAAATCAAAAAGAATAAAAGTGATTAAGTGACTTACTAGGACAATCTCCGACTTCCTTATTAATAGAAATCATAAGTTGTTTTTGCATTCTTCCAGTATATAAAGGTAATTTTGTAGTAATTCCTTCGCGTACTGTTTTGATTACTTGTTCCAACGTTTCAGTATTATCAAGACTTTTTAAAACATGATACAAAGGAAATGCCTAAGTTGATCATGTATAATATATAAATACAATATAGTAAGTATAATATCTAAAATAAATATAGTATTTGATATTTGAAATAATTGATTGATTAGTTGTAAATTTATTTACTTCTCGCGTAGCTTCGGCCAAACTAAAACTATCGGATTGCTTATAAACTTCATGAGCAATTTCGTTTCCGGCTATAGTATACACCTGACCAAATACATATATATTGAAAGGATCACCGTACTATATGCATTTTTTTTTTGTTAATTTTTTATTTATTTTTTTTAATCGTATGATTATTAGGAATGAATTATTATTATTTACTTGTTGTCTACATTCGGCCAAAAATTTATCAGCATTAAACAAATAATCTAACGTATGGCCAATTATTGGAATTTTATAAGGAACCATTGGAGGTTCATTCTGAAGAAAAAAAAAAGAATGAATTAAAAAAACTAAATATTATATGACAAAAAAAAAAATAAAATTTTTTCTTACTTTACTTAATCTTGGTTTCTTAATCCAATAAATAGCATATGTAGCTATGAATACCCACACAAAGGCTGGAATTGTTTCAAAAGAAAAATACATTTTTAAAAATACCATGAAAATTCTAATTTTTCGCTGATACAAATAAATTTTCTAAACGGGATCGCCCACAGCAAAAAGGGTTTCCGGATCACCAACGAATTTTGATATCAGCTTATTAAATATTAATTAAACAAATAGATTATAATAATATTCATTTTGATAATGAAAGTGCAAATAAAATTGTCTAAGTTTACATATTTTATCAATATAAATAAATTAAATATTAAAAGTATTATCACAAAATTCAATCTGGAATAGATAAATGAATGCGGAAATAAATAAAAATTATCAATGAAAAAATAATATAAACAAAATAGATTATTAGACAATTATTTCTTAAATTTATCTAATTAACTGGAGATCATTTGTAGTCTTAAAATAGACTTTTTTTTAAAGTAGCTAACACGCTTCTCTAAACTTTTTAGTAAATTACATCCCTTTTTTGTTAATTAAATTGTTAATTCGATCTTTAAAAAGATCCAAAATAGGGTTTTGAATAATTTTATAAACAGCTTAAATTTCGATCAGGTGCTGTGATTTTGGCCAATCGTAATTTGTTTACTTTTTCGGTAAAAGTACTAATTATGCCACCAACTATTTTGGGAGTGTTGGCTTAAAAATCATTATTTGTATGGCAAATATTCAATGATAAATTTTAAAACTTTATCTCTCACGCATCAAAAAATTAAAAAATAAAATAAAATAGACGAAATAATACCTTTGCGGGAAATGTAAATGATTTTGATAATCGGAAATTTTATTCAGGACAATTAAATGTAGATCGTAGGAAGAAAAGATAATCTTGTGATAAATTTACTTTTAATGCCACTTAACCCAATTTAGAAAATTTCCCATCAATCCTAAATAAAGTTAAAATCATCATATATTTGTTAGTTTCGTTATATTAAACTACGTATTACAAAAAATAATATTTTATTGGAATTTTGTTCTAAAGCCAAAGTCTGAAAAATATATCTCTCTGGGAATCGATATTATTAAAATTATGCCAAGATTTTCATCTTTAAATTAATTTATTATAATATTTATTATTATAGTATACTATTTATCAGTATAAGCAGATATATAGTAAATAAACATAAACGATGTATGGAAAGAAGTTAAAAATAAATAACATGAATAATATTATTAATACTGAAAATAATTTCATTGAATTTAGATTTAAAGGTATAGGATTTGACATTTGTTTAAATAAGAATATTTGTTAATGGCAAAATAAATACAAGAATTTAATTTAATTGCAAGAATATTTAATGTTATCTTTTAACAAATATAAAGATAGCTCAGGAAATTTATTAAATGAAATTTTTTTATATATTTTTTCTGTTCTCAAAAATTAATCCAGCAACTGGTGGCAAAGCCACAGGTCAAAACGTATCTTTTTTAAAATCGATTTATGCATAAAATTTTAATTTGCAAAAAATCCGATTAGATAATTAATAAATATTTATCAAAAATTACAAAAATTGCAAAAATCTGAAATTATTAAAAATTTTATTATAAATTATTAATTAACCAAATAATTTTAAAATACCAACCTTCCAGGGCAAGCATGTTTCCTGAACCAAGTACAAAATAATTTTTATTGGTTTTTGATGCAGGAATATTATTTTCCAAATCAAATCATTATAAGAAGGAATGACCTTGGTTCTGGTCCATATGCTGTGGTATTGTAATGAATATCCATTAAATAAGTTCGAACTATACTACCAGTTAGATTAGATATTTTTTTTTAAAAAAAAAAATTAAAATTGCAATATTATTAAATGGAAAGATTATTGAAATAAATAATAAAGAAATCTTCTAAATGCATATCATTTTTTAAATGTATATGATTCTATACATTTCTGGGGAATGGCAGCTATTTTTTAAAAATTATTCCCATTGTTATTATGTATAAAAAGAGAAATATAAAATTTACATACCCACAGTATCAAAAGTCCTTAAAGATTCTCTCAGAAAACTATCCAATTTCATGATTTTGTTAATATATTGATGTGATAATTCTCCATTACATTCTTACTTGTTCTTCATAAATATCATCCCATAATTCTGCTCTTCCTGCAAAATCTATTAAAAAACATAAAATAATAAAATGAGAGAGAATTATATAAAATGATTATAATTTAATGAATATAAATATCTTTTCTTTTTTACCATAAAGAGCAGAAGAGCAGAAGTGCAGAAGCAAGCTGACGAGCAGTAGTGTGAATAGAAACAACAACAGTAATAAATCAAAAATCACAGATTTTATTCAAGTAATCATCAGTAATAACTTTCAAGATCATTCAAACAATATTCAACTATATCCAGCTATTGTTATTAAAATAAGAATTAATTTTTCTTTGATAGTGTTGAAGTTATGCTAAATTTATTTTTTATACTTATAGGTGGTTCATATTAATCACCAAGAATTTCTTTATCTTTCAATCTTTTCTCTAATACAGGTTTCAAATGTTTCTTTAAAGTAATCACACTCTACCCAAATCAAAGTGGTAAAGTGATAACTTTGGTATGGACTTTTGGATGATGAATGAAAGAATGGGTGTTATTTCGAGAATTGATGTAAAATCAAATCATTTGTAAATCAGCAAAAGCTTTGACCACTTCTTCGTTTTTGATATTTCCTTTAATATAATTAAAGAGATTAAGATATTATTCCATATTTATAATTACAATTTATCTTACCTGTCCAACCAAAACATCAGCTACTGGACGATCGATTATGCTCGAGAAATTACCATTCACCGTGTTAATTAATTTAGGGTCTAAACAATAAAATAATAATTATAATTATTGTTACTATCATTTCAAAAAATAAACCAAAAAGAATAAAAGTAACTAAGCGACTTACTAGAACAATCTCCAATTTCCTTATTATAGAAATCATAAGTTGTTTTTGTATTCTTCCAGTGTATAATGGTAATTTGCGTGATTACTTGTTCCAACGTTTCAGGATCATCAAGACTTTTAAAATAGAATACAAAGAAAATGACTAAGTTGTCTGTGTATAATATAACATCTTAAATAAATACGGTATTTGATATTTGAAATAATTGATTGATTAGTTGTACATCTTGCTAAAAGCATCGGTCCTATAAACTTCATGATCAATTCTATAGAAGGCACCTGACCAAATACATATATGCTGAAAGGATTTTGTTTTTTAATCGCATGTTATTAGGAATGAATGATTTACTTGTTGTCTGCATTCGGCCAAATAATTGTTGGCATTAAATAAACAATCTAACGTATGGCCAATTATTGGAATCTTATAAGGAATCATTGGAGATTCATTCTGAAAAATTAAAAACCAAATATTATACGACAAAAAAAAATAAAAAAATAAAAAAAAATAAAGTTTTCGCTCATACAAATAATTTTCTAAATGCAGATTTATTTATTTATATCCTTTATAAACTTTTTTTACTTCATTATTTATTACCTGTTATGTATATAGACGTTATTTTTCTATTAAAATTAAATATGACACAACCTATTGGACTTTAGATTTTACGTCCCATATACAAAATAACTAATATGTGAGTGCAAACTTTATTTAATATATGATAAAAAATAAACGACATAGAAAGGAAAGGATAATACGTGTCAATCTAATTTTTTTAGAAGATGATACCTTGGTAATTAGTCTTATCGAAGACAATATATATCAAAAATAGATATCAAATATTTCACATTAATTTGTAGAAGAACAAGACTACAACTTTACTTAGATCTACTTTTGGATTTGACGTAGGCACGAATAAAAAATTATTAAAAATAGGGTTTAGAATAAAAATCTAAATAATTGTCAAAGTTGTTACATATCAAAGCTTAATTTTTTACTAATAAAACAATAAAAACAATACTAATAATCCTAAAATTAAAAATATTCTCGAATTACCTATAAAAATTTCAGACCTATTTTTTCACGAATAATAAAATTTCATATAATAATTTTCAAACATTTAGTTACCAGTTTATAGTTTAGGAAAATTTTAGCTTTCGACTAAGCTGACAGAGATAATTTTTCGATTTTTTAAGGTCAGCTCTTAAGAAATAAGTATTATGTTTCAGACTTTATGGTTATTTAGTATCGTTTTTTATTATTTTGTTAATATAAACAACTATGATTTGTGACTTTGTTGGAATTATCAAAGTTTATTTATGTATAACAAATAATAAAATAATGATATGATATGGTGATTTTTAATTTAATAACTTCTTTCCCCACCATAAAATCTTTTTCAGTTTTAGTTTATCGCTTTGCTTTAATTTCATGAAAAAAAATCAATAAAAGTTACAAAGTTTATTGTAAACCATTCTTGGGAGATATAGAAGGAAAAATTAAGTCTCAATTTCATGAAAAAATCAATAAAAGTTACAAAGTTTATTGTAAAACCATCCTTGGGAGATATAGAAGGAAAAAATATTTTTTTCAAATAAAAAGAATTGTGTTGTTACACATTTTAAAAAATGCACTTATTTTTCAATGAAACAATGGTCCGGTCAAAAAAAAAAAAAAGAGAATAAATTTTTGCTTTAATACAAATTCTACTAATTCTACAATCGTACAAATTGAAAAAAAAGTAATAATGTTAAATATTTATTTATTTTATATTCTTGCATTACGTGAGTCAAAAACAATTTATCAATTGCAGAATGAAAAAATTTTACCTTTTAAAACTTTCACTTTCTTGTGAATGGGCTTTTTTTTTTGGATTAATAAAACCTGAAGCAGAAAAGCTTTTTAATTTTTTAAATCCATATTTAAAATATTTAAAGCTTCCTGACCTGACTGTCATTTAAATGAAAGTTTACAAGATCAAATTGATGTGACTTTTAACTTTTGATGATATTCATAATAAAGCAATTGTTAGGTACAGTAATTTTTAAATCTGAAGAATGACCTTATCTACGAAGGGGTTTCGGAAATTAGTATAGAATTTTAGTATAGTACGATGACGGAAAGGTGTGTAATCCGGTTGATCAGAAGAGCAATGTACCAAATAAGAGTTGGGACTTGATAGTTAAAGTTTTAGGGTTAGGGTTAATCATGTGTTAGAACACTTGTTCTTTATTTTTATATGACCGAACGAGGTAATGTGGAGTGAAGTCGACCAGATGAGTGGTGTACGATGAGAGATAATACGGAAAGCTGTGGAGTAAGGTCGACCAGACTCCATACCTTTCCGTAAGGCCAGTTATGATGGGATTTATGGTAATACGAGTGAAATTATCCAAGTCGTATTCTAATTCAAATTTTTCTCAATTGATTACTCTATTAGGAATGTATTAATGTATATTCTTGTCTATTTATAATTTATTTTTTTTAATAAAATTTATTGCTTTTTTTATTCAGTTAAAGTAGCCACATCTAGGTCATGAGGATGACTAAGTGTTGTCTTTGATAGTGCAAATGTTCAAAGGTATTTTGATGCTAAAACAATGATTGAATTGGCTACCTCAAGTTGTGCCGTTATCTTTTGGTCATGGGACATTTAAAGAAACCCCGCATAATATTTATTATAAATTTTTAATCTAAATAATTACAGTCAACTTCCATAAGCGAAACCAGGAATGTACTTATTAGAAATTTGATTGTAAATATATATTATATATTTATTTATTTTGAGTAAAAACTTTTTATTTATTTGTTCATAAATGCCGTATATAGAATAATTTTCAAATATTATAATTAGTGAGCATAAAAAATATATAAAATCTTTTAAAAAAATAATTTAATAATGCATCTCTTGGATTTTCAATTTAAAAATTAATTTGTTTTTCTCATTATTTTTTTTTTCTTATATTAATTTGTTGGTATAATATTCCAATGGAAATGTTAATGTTATACTGGTAACAGTGCAGTATGCGTAATCCAACATGAAAAAAAAATGACACGGAACTTATAAAATATTATAAACGATAATACCGATAGATATCGATGCAAAAAATTTAAAAACGGATGCTTTTTGCTTTTATGATTAAGAAAATGTAAACAATTGAACAGTTGTGTCAACACTTGTTATTTTTTTTTTTTGTTCACATTTTTTTTATCGCCTTGGAAATCTCGTGCAGAAAAAAAAACAAAAATTTATTTATCATTAATTTATTTTAAAGCTTTTTTCTATCTATCAATAAATAAGAATTGACCAGCGATCGCTCCTATTACAATTAATAATACTGATAACATTCTATGCTTAAAATAATATAAAGCTCCTAATGTCATAATATATAAAGTTGCCGCAATAGCACCTCTTTGAAGTGCAATAATATTTCGTTGATTTCCATCCTTAACACTAATAGCACCAGTAGTGATAAGTGATGATCGAAGCAAATCAAATGCGGTAGGAGCGATTAATCCAACAACACTACCAACAATACCATCAAAGAATGATGCCATGAATTTATTACGACACAATTTTTCTAAAAGGGGATGACCTATTATGGTGAAAAGGAAACATGGTGTAAATACTCCCAATGTAATAAGGAATGCATAAAGGAACGCCCAACCAATTCCTCCTCCATCCGCTTTAAGACCAGCCTGAAATCCAATGAAGCAAGAGAACATTGTTAGAGGCGAAGGTAGAATGTTTCCTATAGCGATAGCATCTAAGAATGTTGCAGGTGTCATCCATCCACCAATGTTTACCGCTTCGGCTTTCAAGAATGGAATTGTTGTCTTGATTTTGAAAAAAAAAAGAATTAAATTTTTATGTCATTCTATAATTAAAAAAGTTACTTCTCCAACTTCTCCACTGTCTCTTTCCAATTTCTTTTATTATAAATTCCATTACTTACATATGCTCCTCCGAATGATATACTTCCAGTTAACAAACCCAAACCGAAGACATGACCAGAATCAAGTTCATCTTGTTTAGCAATTCCAATACCTAGTGAATTTGGTGATGGAATGCCATTATTGAAGCCAATATATAAACCGAATCCGACAAATTCAAGTAAGAAAACTAGAAGACCAATTAAATATAGTTTTCTATCAATAAACATAAATGCAATTCCACAAACTCCCATAGTTATTAACAAATTAAGGTTAAGAGCAGTTAGAATGGATGATAATATTGCCATTCCAAATAACCATTTATTAAATTTATTTGTTCGGCTAGAAATGAAAGAATGTTCTGCAATTTTATGAACAGCTCTTAATACAAATGCTGCTACAATTGGTTGTAATGCTCTAAAAGAGGCATTAAAATAATCATTTTCGAATCCAATTATCTCATAAATGTAACTGAAAAGTAAAATTAATATAAATCCTGGTAATATAAATCCTAATCCACCAAGTAAACCACCAATACGTCCACCAGCAAGTTGACCAAAGAACATAGCAAATTCTGTTGCTTCCGGACCAGGTAAAATTTGATAAACACCAAAGACACGATTAAATCTTAGCATTGTTATCCATCCACCTTTTACCACAAATCGTTCTTTGAATAATGCTATTTGAGCTACCGGCCCTCCCCAGGAAAGAATTCCAAAATTAAAGAATAATATGAATATTTGTAAATAAGAAAGACTTGGGACTTTCGAATTATCCTTTAATTCATCATATGCCGGTTCGGATAATCTTTGGTCATTGGAGATAACATCAACAACGGTTTCTTTATCCCCAGAATTCGGAGTGTGATTAATTACTATAGAACATTCCACATCTTCGACTTTTTGTTGCGTCGATGTCATATTATCATTTACAGTAGAAATTATTTTTTGGTATAAAAAAAAACTAATTAAGAACGAAAAAAAAAAATAATGGAATGAAAAATTAATTAGAATTTTTTTAATGGCTAGCGAATCTCATATAAAAAAGAATATATATGTCAATCGTTTACATTATACTTACAATTTTGAAAAAAATGTACGACGAAATCTTATACATGTCACGTATGCATAAATCGAGTGTTTTGAACACAATTTTATTATCCAAAAAAAACCCACCTTAAAACCCGAAACCCTATGCTCATGTCACATTACATCCCAATTTAGAAAAGATACAAAAACTTTATCTCACCAAAAATTAAAACTTAAGAAAAAAAAAAAAAAAAAAAAAACCAAAAATAGACGAAATGCCATTTTGCAAGGAATGTCAACAAGAAAATGAAAACTATTGGTGCCAACCATGCAACTCAAAACATTTTAAAAATGATTTTGATAAATGGACAAGTGGAAATGACACGATAGATAAATTTATTCAGGATGCTCAATTAAATGCAAATGATAAATTGAACGTAATAGAATGGATACCTTATGATAGATTTAGAAATATTAAAGAAATCGCAAAAGGTGGTTTTGGTACTATTTATCATTCCAAATGGATTGATGGATATATATTTGAATGGGATATTAAAAATAAACAATGGATAAGATGGCATCAATGTGAAGTAGTATTAAAAAAGTTTGATGGTATTGCAGATATAAATGAAGAATTTTTAAATGAAGTAAAGTATTATTTAAATTAATATTCAAATTAATTTATTTATATATGCAAATATATAATACATATCTATACTTTTTTTTTTAAAAAAAAAATGACGTAATATTCAGATGTCAATTCATTTGAAAACAATGGATTTAGATTATATTTATTTAATCCGATTTTATGGTATAACAAAAGACCCAGAAACCAACAAATATGTGATGGTTTTACATTACGTAAAAGATGGAAATCTTAGAAATTATTTAAATAATAATTTTAATAATATTAATTGGTTTGATAAATTAGTTTATTTAAAAGAATTAACATTTGGATTTATAAACGTTCATGAATTAAATATAATTCATCAGGATTTACATCCTGGTAATATTTTATTAGAATATAATAAAATCTATATTTCAGACTTTGGCTTAAGTAAATTAGTCGGACAAAATGTAAAAAATTCTGATAAGAAAAGTATAGTTGGTGTATTACCATATATAGCACCTGAAGTATTAAGTGGTAATGAAGAATATTCAAAGGCTGCTGATGTTTATTCATTTGCAATGATAGCTTACGAAATAATTACTGGAAATTTACCATATCCTGATATACCACATGACAATGACCTGGCTTTGAGAATATGTAATGGATTACGACCAAAAATTCCATTCCATACTCCAAAATTAATTACAAGAATGATTATGCGATGTTGGAATGCACGAGTCACTTGTCGACCCACTTTTAAAGAATTATATAAAGAGTTACATGAATACTTTGATGATTATATAAATAATAATGATAATAATGAAATTACAATTCAAATTAAAAAAGCTAAAGAATTTGAAAAATTTTCAACAAATCGAACATCAAATGATACATATACAACAACAACAACCATCACAACTCGACTTAATTATCAAACACATCCGCAAGCAATTTATACAAGTCGACTTCTCAATTTTTCAAATCTTCCAAAGCCTGTAAGTGAACCAAATTTCGAAAAAGAACTTGAAGAATTTAATGAACATAGTGAACATATAGATACTAGTAAGTATTAATTAGGTATTATATTTTATGAATAATATTATTTATATTAATTTTAAATTATTTTTATATTTTATTTAGATGATGATATTGATGAATTCTAAGTATCAAGTTATATTTATAAATATTTTACATGTTATTATTTTTATATTTTAATAAATTAAATTCAATTTATAGTTGAGAGAAAAATTTATATTCTTAGAGTAAGAATTATTTATTGTATGGATTTATATGTAATCGTGATTTTTTTTTTTTATTATAATCAACTCTCTTATAAATGCACTTTCTATAAGTGCGTAAATGACATCCACTAATAACACTTATAAAATTACATTCTCTCTATAAATGCACGTCCCAGGAGATGCATTTATAGAGAGTTGACTGTATATCTTAAAAAAAAAAAAAAAAAAAAAAACTAAATATAATATTATTATTATTTATATATTTGAAGATGTGTAATACAGATCTTGCATACATAAATTATTTCATACGAGTACAACATTATATATCCGTGATGTAAAACGAAAGTTAATAATGCCTAATTAAGGCCATACATATTTCCATTATTTCATATTTCTCCAATATTTAGTTTAAAAAATAATAAAGATAAATAATATAGTATAAAATATTTACAGTAATAATAATGGAGCAAACGAGACTTTCAAATGTGACTAATATTACAGAGGAAGCGGAGGAAGCCGAGGAAGCCGAGGAAGCTGAGGAAGTTGAGGAATCAGATGAAGATTTAGATTTTCTTCCTTCTTTTTCACAACCTTCCTTATCAAACCTCGACTCAAAAAGTGAAATTTCCTCATATGCGTCGGAAGATAGAGAATTGTTAATTAAGAATAATCATTCTAGTTCAACACACAAAGAAAGTGATTCCTCCATAATATCTAATATGAATAATATGGGTAACTCAAATTCTGGTGGAAGTAGAAGAGGTAGTCTTATTATAGATAATTCGGAAAAGATAATAAAAATGTGTGCTATGGCTTGCGCATGTACTTTCGGTATAGGAAGTCACTTCTCTTCTCATATTATTGGACCAATGAAAGGAATATTGATGGAGGTAAAGTTATCCACTGTTGTATATTATATTAAGGTAGAGAGGGTATTATGACGCAGGTATGTATTAAATAATATATCTTATATAATGCGCCTTACCCACCTGCGCCACAGTACCTGCCTTACCTTATATATATATATATATTTATTTATTTATTTATATTTATATTTATATTTATGTTTATTAACTTTTCCTTTTTGATAATCTGTCCATATCAACTATCAATCCTATCAATATTTATTTTCTGCGTTCCAAAGAGACTTGATCTTACAAATACTCAATTCTCTTTATTGGTAGCATCACTTACATTATGTAATACAGTGATTCCAATAGTTTCAGGATTATTAGTGGCACGATTTGGAACTACCCGTAGTTCACTTGTTATAACAACAGTAATTTTAATAGGAATGATAATAGTAACAGCTGCTAGTTGGACAGGTAAAGTTGGATTAATGATTATGGGATTTATGGTTTTTGGGTAAGTTTCAATAATTTACGGTGTGTGTTTGTAATTGTGGGCTTGTAATTGTAAGCTTGTAATTGTGTTCTTGTAATTAATTACATATATTTATAATATTTTATTAACAAAATCTATTATTACAATTTCTGTTATCATTATAATATTTTATTACCTATAATTTATTTATTACCAAATTTATTGTTATTATATTATAATACCAGTGTCGGATTGGCACCATTAACGATTGTTCAAGAAACAATAATTGTTCAGTTCTTTCATGGAAGTGGATTAGGATTTGCTTTGGCTGTTGGTTTAACATTGGGAAGATTAGTAAGTTATATATATCAAATTATATATAGATATATATATATATATTTACACGATATTTTATATACAATATTTTATAACACACTATATTTACAATATTTTATAGTCATCATTTATTGCAACAGTCTTGGCAGTTCCATTATCAATGATGCCACCATTGGCATATCGAACACCATTTATAGCTGCCACATTTACATGCTTTGTTTCTTGGATAATGAATTTTGTATATATAATTCTTTTGAAACATGCTGATAATAGAAAAAATCATAATAAAGGAGGAGTTGCATTGTTACAAGTAGTTGAAAAGAAGAAAGTTCATTGGGATGCCATATTTGATCTTTCCGATTTATTTTGGTGGTTTTTAGTGGTGGGATTATTATGTGGTTCTGTATTATCACCATTCGTTCATTTATCGAGGTAACAAATATTTATTTATTTATTTATTAATAAATATAAAATTAATTTAATTTAATTTATTTATTTTTTATTTATTTATTTTTTTATTTATTTTTTATTTATTTATTATTTATTTATTTTTTATTTATTTATAGTAATATAATTAAGCATCGATATAGTACATCAGATTTATTAGCTTCGTGGGATGCATCGATAATTTTATTATTACCAGTTATAGTATATCCATTTTTAGGTCTATTTTTGGATAAATATGGTTGTAGATTATGGATTTGTAAGTTTTCTAATTATTATTTTTATTTGAATTTTTATTTATAATTTTTTTAATATTTTAGTAATATTTAATTATTTTAATTTTTATTTAATTTATTTATTTATTAATGTATTTTATTAATTTATTTTTTTTTTAAATGTATTTAGTAATATATGGATCAGCCGCATTTTTGATTACTTATTTATTATTATTGACACCACCAAATATAATGCATCCATTTCCACCGATTTTCTTATTTGCAACTGCACATGCCGTTGTTCCACTTACAGGTGTTACTCTTGTTCCTTTATTGACTAAACATGTGTCAACTGGATTGGGACTTTATAAAAGTGTGGATAATATTGGTGCTACTTTATCACAAACATTTGCAGGATTATTGCTTGATGCTCATTTAAAGAAACCGAATTATTTAGTTGATGATGATAATAATGAAGGAAATGATATTGATCATATAGATGATGATTTAGTAGTTTTAAGAATGTTTGCGGTTATAAGTGGATTAGGATTGATTGTTTGTTGCGCATTTTGGTGGTTTGATAAAAAATATAAAGGAGGATTTCTTAATTCAAAAAATAATTCAACCATTAATAATAATTCTAGTCATCATAATAAATATGAACATTTACCTGAAGAAGAAATACCTGATGAAGGAGGAAGAATAATACAAATGAATATAGAAGAAGAAACAAATACAACAAAAATAGCTGCATCAAAAATGAGGAAAAGAACTATTATATATATGTGGATTATGGGTACGTTATTATGTGTTTGTTGGATTGTATTCTTGGTGGTTTCTTATGAAAAAGCAGAAGTACACGCAGGTAACTCTCCACCAAGTGATCATTGAATTAATGAATGAATGAATGAATAATAATAATAATAATAATAATAATAGAATAGAATTTAATAACTTTAATAATTTATTGATTTGGACTTTTTTTTTAAAAAAAAAAAAAAATTACAAATATGAATACAGTTATGATACAGTAACATAAATACAGTAATATAAATATAGTAATATAAATACAGTAATTGATAAATTAATTTTAATTACGAGAAAGAAAAAATCTTAAAACAATAGCATAATAATATTACAATAACAAATATATTCATAATTAAATAGAAATTTAATAATTAATTAATTTTAGAATTAATTAATTAAATAGAATTATGTAATTAATTTAAATTAAATGTATTTTATGAATTCTTTGCACCAAAAAATAAAAATAAAAAATAAAAAAGGTTAATTAATAAATTATAACAATTTAAAAATTTGAACACTTTTGAAAATGGAAATTGAAATCTGTCAAAATTTGTTTATCCACACCAAGTACAACCAATATTCAAGTATAACTAACAATAAAAATACTTTAATTCCATTATAAGTACCAAATAACCACCATCCAAATCCTAATATTTTAGATACAATTTCTCCAATCAAAAACTTTCTTTTTCTATTCGGATCAATTTTAAATGGTGAAAAAGATGTTGTAATGGAAGAAAAAGAATGAGATGATGGTAAAGTTGATATTATAAAGAATGCGGATACAGGTTTATGATCTGATAGAGTATATGAAGGATGTGATAAATATGAAATTAATTTTATTGGTGGTTCTTTTCCTCCTGTTAAATCTTGATTATTATTATTATTATTATTACTCTGCTCCTCAACATCGAAACCTTCGTTATCTTCTTCTTTACCATCATGATGCCAATAATAAAATATTCGATCACACCATCCAGGTAACTTACTACTAACATCAAATTCATTTTTACTTCCCACTTGATATTTATAAGTTGGTAAGAAATTTAATTCCCCTTCTTCAAATCCATGAAGAACTTTACCAGATTTAACTTCTCTAGTTAATTGATCAAGGTTTCTTAATTGATAATGATGTTGATTTAATATATGATTGGAAAAATTAATATTCTTATTATTATTGTTATCGTTATTGCTGCGTTGATTATTATTATTATTGTTATTATTATTATTATTATTATTATTATTATTATTATTATTATTATTATTACGTTCGCCGGGAAAATCAGGAAAATCAGAAAAAGCATCAATTATTAATCGTGGTTCATCAAATTCATCAAATTCAATTCTATAATTTAAATCACCAAAAAAAAATAAATAATCTGAATCATAAATTGTAAATAACTTTTGATTATTATCATTATTAGAATTATATATTGGATTATTATTATATATTTTATATATTGAATTATTTCTTGGATTATTTCTTGTTATTAAAGGGGTAGAAATTAATCCATCTTCAATTAAGCTTTCTCTACTAATAATGTTATTTATTATTAATTCGTCATCTTCATCTTCCTCCTCTTCATCATCATCTTTCTGTTGTTGTAATGGTGGTGGTGATAATGGTGATGATGGTGATGGTGATGATGATGGTGATGGTTGTGAATGAATTTCTTTATTATCATTCGTAAATATTAACCTTTCACAAATACTTTTAAAATCTTGATTACGTCTTTGCGTATTATGATTATGTGGTGTTAAATGAGTTACTACGAAACATAATACTATTTCTTCGTCAATAACAGTATTATCATCATCATTAATATTAACAATAAGATTATCATTGTCACTATTACTGTTATTATTATTTCTCACATTCCTATCACCTTTATCATTATCACCTTTATCATTACCATCTTCATTATTATCATTTTGATTATCATTTTGATCATTTCGTAATAATAATAATAATTCATTTTTATTTAAAATCATTCTCACTCCTAATCCACCTTTATTTCCAATCCAAAAAGGTCCCACCCCTGCTTTGGAAATTTCATAATTTTTAATTATTCCGGTGAAACGATCTTTGACATAAATAAACAATGCTAATCCAACATAATCATCTTTCATTAATTGTGTATAATTTTCTTTATTGGTACCAAGTGATATCGCTCGTTCAATAAGTTTTGAATAATAATTTAATCTCTTGTTATTAACTTTAATAAGTGAACATGGCATGGGTGTATATTCTTGTAAACCTACAACTATAATATCTGGTTTTTCTTCTAATGTGATGATATTATTGTTGTCGTCGTCGTTGTTGTTGTTGTTTGAAATGACATTGATGTCGGTGACGTTCGAAGTTGTGGTGTTGAACTCATTAACATTACAAGAATTATTTGAAAGATTTGAAGATCTATTATGCGAAAATAACCAAGAAGTTAGATCTTGATCTATTATTCTTGTATTGACATTATACGTTCCTATAAGAATTTTTAGAGTCATCACTGCTGTACTACTTATAATTCTTAATATATTTATTTAAAAATTCATGTGATTGTTTAATGTCACCAGTTTTGTTGTTATTATAAAAATATATATAGTTACTTTGCAACCTGATACGTATGTTAAATTAATAAAAAGAGAAATTAATTTTTGCTAATTATTTTTTAGCTATGAATTGAGATTTCTTAATACAATAATATATTTTTAATCTCTGACTCACTAAAAATGCTTTGAGGTAAAAAAAAATGTTATGGAAGTAATTGTTAAATTATTAAAGGATAAGTTAGAAGTTGGTAATTCTCTTGATTTCAAGAAAAAAAAAAATATTATAAATAAGATTGTAAATTTTGTAAAAAACAATGTGAATATGATTCATCAATATCATCATCTAAATAAAATATATTGAAATAAAATAATTCAAAATTGAATAAAATGTAATTAATGCTATATGATTTCAAATTTTGAGTTCATTTACAGGCTTTGGAAGATTTAGAAAATTGAGGAGTCGGTTTGTATAAATTGCTTGTGGATGTGGATGTGTTTGGTCTTCAACTTTTCTAATTTGAACTGTAATTATAGAATTTTTAAAATGATTTATCCAACTCATTAAGTAATTAAATTATGGAATTTTTGGTGTATATTCTCAAAGCAAGACATAATTGCAAAATGAATAAATATCAGAATATTTTTCATTCTAACTTAATACTACAGATGTTATATATGGTAATACACCAAAATATATTCTTCGTATTAGAATTCTTTGTATTTTGTCTGATTAACTTAAGCTAAAGTCGGAAATCATATAAAATGTACACGCACAAGCGTTCCGAATTTATCTATATTATTATATCTATTACTTCCGAATTTTGGTTATTTATATTATTTATTATTTATATTATATATTGGATATTACGGAGGCACTTTCTTTTTGCAATACTTAGAATTTACCAATATCATCATCTAAATAAAATATAGAAATAATTTAAATTAATATAAATAATATTATTCATAAATAAAATATAATACTTACTAGTATCTATATGTTCATTATGTTCATTCAATTCTTCAAGTTCTTTTTTCAAAATTTGGTTCATTTACAGGCGTTGGAAGTTTTAGAAAATTGGGAAGTCGACTTGTATAAATTGCTTGCGAATGTGTTTGGTAATTAAGTGAAGCTGTTGTATCAATTGATGTTTAATTTTCTGAAAATTTTTCAGATTCTCTGATTTGAATTGAAATTTCGGAATTTTTAAAATAATAATTATAAAAATATTAATTCAACTCATTAAGCAATTCTTCAAAAGTAGGTCGATAATTAACTCGAGCATCCCAACATCGCATAATCATTCTTGTAATTAACTTTAGAGTATGGAATGGTATATCAGGATATGGTAAATTTCCAGTAATTATTTCATAAGAAAATGAATAAACATCAGCAGCCTTTGAATATTCTTCATTCCCGCTTAATATTTCAGGTGCTATATATGGTAATACACCAACTATACTTTTCTTATCAGAATTTACTTAAACCAAAGTCTGAAATATATGTGGTATTATGACAGAATAAAATATTACCAGGATGAAAATCCTGATGAATTATATCTAATTTATGAATTTCTGTAAATTTCTTTGTTAATTCTTTTTGAAATTTTCATTTAAATAACTTCTAAGATTTCCATCTTTTAGATAGCGTAAAAACATCATATATTTGTTGGTTTCTGGGTCCTTTGTAATACCATAAAATCTGACTAGGCGAACATCATAGTTTTCAAGTGAATAGACATCTAAATAATATATATATATATATTAAAAAAAATTATAATTAATATATTATAAATTAATTTGTATATTAATTTAAAATAATACTTCACCTCATTTAAGAATTCTTCATTTATATCTGCAATACCATCAAACTTTTTTAATACTACTTCACATTGATGCCATCTTATCCATTGTTGATTTTTAATATCCCATTCAAATATATATCCATCAATCCATTTGGAATAATAAATAGTACCAAAACCACCTTTTGCGATTTCTTTAATGTTTCTAAATCTATAATAAGGTATCCATTCTATTACTTTTGATTTATCATCTGCATTTAATTGAGCATCCTGAATTAATTTATCTATCGTGTCATTTCCACTTGTCCATTTATCAAAATCATTTTTGAAATGTTTTAAGTTGCACGGTTGGCACCAATATTTTTTATTTTCTTGTTGACATTCCTTGCAAAATGGCATTTCGTCTTATTAATAAAAAAATTGTTATTTAATTTGTCATATAATATTCATATAGGTGTAAATTTTTAATTTTTCATGTGATCAATTATAACGATCGCAGGAATTATGTGAAGAATAAAATTCTCAGCTAACTGTGGAAGAAAGAGTAGTTCTAGGTCTTTAAAAAAAATTTCGTCATCCGTACTATATTTTGTTTATCTTTAAATATTTTATCACGTGAAGTTAAAAAAATAAAATTTGATGTAAAAAATGACAGCGTAACGTTAAAGAAAGAAACATCAACCAATAATGTTTAATAAGTTAATAATGAAATGATAGAAATATGATATCATTTCATAATTACAATATTTTATAAATTCGGGTCATAACATTCATCCTCGAAAGCCTTCTTTTTTTTTAAAAAAAAAATGCTTACGAAAATTCTATTTATGATTCTTGAATATCATTAATCATAACTTCGCCACCTTACAGTATATATGACATTTTTATTGATGGATTTTTCAGTAATATATTTTACAATTTTTACGTGCCAATTAGTCTCTTTACTGTAGTCATATTATCTCTTTGGTACATGGCAGTTACGATATATCAATCTACTGCCACCAAAAAATTTCGGAATGGTCCAATTTAGATTTGATTATGTTTCCTATGACTACTGCTGAAGTGTTACTTCGTATTTATTGTTATAAAGTTATTACACGTGAATGTTCTGCACGTAAGGATAAAGTTATTTCCAGTGGACCATATGCTTACATTATACATCCTTTATATACCGGTTATGTAATGATTATATTGGGAAGATTATATTTATTTTGGGTTTTACATAATTTGGCTCCTCTTTGGATTCAAAAATATTTTTGGGTAGCGTTGGGAATCGATATTTGGTTTTTGGTCATTGGATTATATAATAGAGTTTTCGGCGAAGAAGAATTATTGGCAAATAAATATGTACATAATATTCTTCTGTTCAAAAATAATAAAAAAGAAACTCTAATTACTATCAATTTCTATCAGTGATTGTATTATCTCTTTATTCACGTTTATTCTAATTCAATTTATATAAACTTTTGATCTGCAGTTGTCACGTTTATTTAAATCCTGATTTAATAGGACTTTTTTTTTCGTAAAATTTCTTTTAAAAAAACTTATGGAAGAGTCAAAACGAAAAATATATCATGAAAGGCAAAGTTTTTGGTTTTGTGGTCAAGTGAGTGAGAATATATTGATACCTTTTTATTTTAGTTTATGTTATGTAATGTCGAAATATTCATAATATACAGTAGGACCTATCTATAAACATAACGTGTATAAGCATAACCTGTCTTTAAGCATATAATTTTTCTGGTAAAAGTCACAAGATTTATATATAATATATATGAAGTCTCAACGTATACAAGCATGACCTGTTTAAATACATATGGCCCGAGAGTGTGCTTATAGACAGGTTCTACTGTATATATATATATTTATTTATTTATGAATTTTGTTAATTTCTTATTTTTTTTTTTTTACTAAATATAAATAAAAGCATACATTGAATAATCTAGTGAGTAAAAAAAAGTTAAACTATATTTTAAATAAGATTATCTTTTCTTTATTAATTTCTATGGAACATTCTATTTTATTTTTGAAATAGCTTCAAAATGAGGCATTTGGAAAATCAAAACTTAACAATATCGCCATAAATTTGGCCGAAAAAACTGATTCTGAGGTTAAATCATGGAAACATTATTTTGTAAATCCGCACAAAAGTATTTTGTAAGATATCAAATATTTGAAATTTTTTTTTTTTTGAAAATTAAAAAATCTTTTTTAAAAAAATTTATTTTTCTTTAAAAAAAAAAGGGGTTTCGGTAATTACGATATAAATGTTTTAGATATAGCACTTAGAGAATTTGATTTAGAAGTTCAATGGTTTGACGATCGTAAAGGTATTTACATTTTCGACTTTATATATTTTACCTTTATTTACGAATAAATAATTTTATATTCTTTATTCATTATTTTTCACACCAAAAAAAAGAAACTTGGAATTTCATTTTTTTTCTGAAATTTTGCTATAATATCTATTATAATATATTATTATAAAGATATTCGCACAGTTATTCAATTCACTGATAGGACACTCTTTGGATTAATTTTGAATGTTCCCATAACACAATATTACTTTTGGAATTCTCATCATTGGATTGCTATTAAACCAATTCATGTTGATGAAGAGGAGACAGTTGTTGTTTATAATTTAGATTCTAAATTACATAAACCAGAGAAATTTCCAGATATAGAAAAAGTAATTAAAGTATTTGTAATATTAATTAATTTTTAAAATATTTAACAAAAAAAAAAAAAAAAAGATTGTAAATTAAAAATAATTTTATTTATAATTATATATTTCTTTTACTCTTTACCCTTTACAGGCATATAAATTCCTTTCGGATTATGTTTACAATAAAAATGCGCAACTTATTTTGGTAAAGTCAAAGCGCAATAATGATGATTTGAATAACGATGTGGATTCTGAATAATTATGTTGATTCTTAATATTCTTAATGGTGGTGATTGGAATGAAATTTGAAGAAGATATAATTTAAAATTAGAATGAAATTCTTGGTAATGTTAGCACAAAGAAAAAAATAACAAAAACAAAAAGAATGAATAAGTCAAATTCCAAAAGTTTAAAATACTTTGTGTTAATGTCAATTTATTGTACATTATTTTGTTATTTCATTAATTTATTATTTATTATTGCATTATTTCATTGGATAACAGTACATTATTTATAATTACATTTTTTTATAACAGGGATTTGGATTCTTGATTCATATAATATTTTCTCTTTATTATTGCATAATTGAATAATTGAAAAATTATTTAGCCAGAAATAATAAGAATTCACAAAAAATAATAAAAATTAAAAAAAAAATTTTAAAAAAAAAAATTAAAAATTAAAATTAAAAATAAAATTAAAAATCAAAGAATAAATTAAATAAATTAAAATAAAAATAAATAAATTAATTAAAGATCAGATTAATCGAATTCTTCCAGGTGGTCTCAACGAAGCAACCGGATAAAGTTTTGAAGGAAGATTAAGCCAAGCTGTAATTTCTGGATGTTTAACTCCATTAATTGAAAAGGCAATAGTTTTCCGTGTCATGTTTAAATGAACCGTAACCTTCGTTCCACTTCCAAATTCTTTAGTATATTCCAATCCAATACTATTATGATAACATTTACCACTAGATCCTAATACCCAAGCGCAAGATTGTTGACCAGCAAATGAAGAATAATCTAATCCTCGTTCCGCACAAACTCCTATCCACGCATAAGTACAAGTTTCTTCAATTATAACATCCCATTCATAAATTCCTTCTTCACTAATAAGTTTATTTGCTCTAACACTATGATGAATATTTTGACCAGTATGAGAACTTTCCACTATTTTATTATTATCCCGTAAAGTAAGATTTAATCCTCTGACTCGGGGATCCCAACATAAATTCCATTTATAAAGTGGAATTCCTCGTAATGGTGGCAATGTTTTATTTTGAGCTTTGAATCTATATGCTTCTAATAAAATGTTATCCGGTACAATTTCCAACGGTTCAATTATATTAATTAAAGTATTAGTATCGATTCTATTTAAATCAATATACGGAAGAATTGAAGAGAATATTTCCATAACAGATGGTTTAATTTCTTCATATTTCAATTGATCATTTTCATCATAATCATCATTTTCATTATAATCATCATTTTCATTATAATCATCATTTTCATTATCTTCGTTATTCTTTCCCATATTTTTCTCGTGATTTACATTATTACTTTCATCTTTATTTTCATTAGTTTTTTCATTATTTTCATTATTTTCATTAAAATTTTTTTTTATAGGAAGTCTTTTCTCAAATAAATTGACAATATCTTCAGAAACGCATTTCGTCGCTTGTATAACTGCATGTCGGAATACCATGTATTCAGGAGTGGCGAATGGTTCATTTGTATCTGAAGTTTTAGATAAAAGACATTGTAATGCTTGAAATGATAACTCATCAGATTTAATTTTATCTAATGGTATTAAAGCCACATGTTCAGTTAATAATTTAATTAAATTATTTTCAGCTGATCCTGACATTTTTTTAACTACTTTAGATAATAGTATTGGAGCCGAGAATTCTGGTTCATCGTCATTATTATTATTACAATTATAAATATATTTATTATTATTACTATCATAATTTTTAGATCTAGGTAATGCTTTCTTAACAAATTCAACAATATAATCTTGTAAATCTATTAATTGAAAATAATCCGCAGCATAAAATGCATCGATTACATTTTCGGGGGTAAGATCTAATTCATTAATTTCTCCTGTATATAAAAATTCTAAAATTATTTTCATGGCATCAGCTTTAATTTCGGGAAATTTTATTTCATTTTGTTTAGTTTCTTTCATTCCATTAAAAAGTAATCTATCTAAAACTGCCGAACGAGCTGCTAATATTGATCGACATCCATATAGAATTACATTATCTTCACTTATTATTCTGAGATCACTATATATTGGATTATTTATTAATTGTTCTAAATCTTTGACAAGTGAACTTCCTCGCATCTTCATTTTTCAGAGAAGGTTTTTAGATAATAATGTTTTGACAACATTTTTAATATATATTATATTATTAATAATTTTCACATGTTAAACATTCAACCCCTTTACTAAAGTTTTATCGTTAATTTAACTTAGTTTTAAAAAGCATTCTTTTTTTTGATATCATTATTATAGTGAATATGGAATCAATCATTTTTGGTTCCTTCTATATTAAGATAAAATAGTTTCGATCATCATTGTTAAACAGAAAAGACTTAAATGCAAGCTAAACGTTTTTTTTATAGTTCACGAAAAAAATGATCAGCTGATGTAATTTGCTAGTTTCTGGGTCTTTTTGTTGTTCCATAAAATATTATCCACCGTTTTTCAAAAATATATTATCTCATTCAAGTGTTCACCGTATAACACTCATTGCTGATGCATCGATCCATTTGGCATAATAAATAAGACTAAAACCACTTTTTAGATTTCTTTAAATCCATTATATTACTTAATATCGAGTCACTTTAGAAATGCATGGTTGGCACCACCATCTATCCTCAGGTGATATTTCACCTTGCAAAGCGTCATTCCTTATTATTTAGAAAAAAATTGTTTAATTTTCGTTCGGAGAAAATTCAAAATAATATTGTCACTTTTAATTAGTTGGCGGCGGTACTTCTCGTAGAAAACTGAACCCTACCCATGAATTTTTTTTTGTTTTTTCAAGAGATTTATGGTTTTTTATTCATAATTAAAAGCTAATAAAAATGACTGTTAAAAATTCCTATCAATTTGTAAGTTCTTAATATAATTTAGACAAATGTACATTATAATATCTTTATTTTTTTTTTTTATGGATAAAAAATAAATTCGTAGATATTATAATTTATTAAATTTTATAACAAAATTATATTGTAACGATAAATGATTTCTTAATTCTATTATGAATATAGAGAAGGAAAAATTTTCAAAGGACTATAGCAAGTTATGCTATATTAATAAAGTCTTGTAACTTGAATATTTTATTGTTCGTTTCAAGCATATTATAATGCAAAATGTAGAGCACGCGGCAATTATACTATTATACTTATCTGAAAAAAAAATAATAATAAATTTGTGCTTAAATTTCCAATTTTAATTTTTTGAAAGTGACCAAAATTTATAACAATCCTTGTTTTCAATAATTTATTGCAGATAATATCTTTACTCTGTTATATCAAACATGTATGCTGAATTAGGTGAATTGCTTAATTTCAATTATCTTACAATTGCATATATTTAATTAATAAAAACTTTCAATAATGACTTTACCATTTAAAAGAAGCTTCTTTCTTATTATAAATGAAATAAAATAATGTATAAAAAAAATATAACGAATTTCACGACTAAAACTTTTATTATCAGTAAATGTTTGATTATCTATTTATTTTATTTGTATCTGTTTGCTGCGCTACTATAGGATTCTTTCTAATAATACGCAAACTGGCAACAAATCGAAGAAAACAAATTAATTTTATTTGAAATATTCATCTAAACTTTTTCGTTTTAAAATAAAATGATTGACATTGAAGTGCTTACTGTTCTCTCAGTAGGCTAACAATCATATAAAAAAAGATGCATATAGTTTTAAGTTTACTTGGTAATATTTTTAGTATTACTTATAAAAACAAAATGGTTTATACCAATATGAATTATTTTCGTTATATCGCGAAATGATTATAATTAAATTACTTTAATTATAAGTCATAATTTTGTTTACTTACTTTATAAAAACTTAGAAAACAGTTACTTATTTTTGCTCAATATTATCGGGAGACAGCAAACTTAGTTAATTTTGATAGAGATTATAGATTGTGTGATTATCAATGTTATATTATAAATTTATTATATTTTATTAAAACACATATACCAATTGTTTTAAATTGCATATTCTTGAGCTTTAATTAATATAATCTCCACATAGTTTGAAATCTATATTACGTACTCTTAAGCTGTAATTCTAAAATTACAATTATAGTCTTGAACTTTATTTAAGGTAATCTTGAGTTTAATTATCTGTAGTTTTGAGTTTTAATTCACATAGTCTTAAGCTTTAATTAACAGAATCTCCACAGCCTTAAGCTTTAATCCTGAATCTATATTTATAATTTTGAGCTTTATTTAATGTAATGTTTGAATTTATTATGTAGTCTTGAGCTTTAATTAACTTGATCATTAATCTATTTAGTTTTATTAACTGTGAAATATTCATGTACTTATTTTTAATAAAATAAACTTGTGAGAGTGTGAAATAATAAGCTTTTAATAAAATAAACTTAAACATATATTCTAGAGTATCGTTTTCAATTTATTTTAATAAATTAAATGTGCTAAAATGTGAAACAATCATGAGTTTAGCATGTATATTTAAGCTTGCTTTATTTAAAATAAATTAAAGTGTAAAATAATAATTTATTTTAATAAAATCTATATGATTTTACTTTAATTAATATAATTACTTTAGTTGCAGGTTATAACTCAGGTTGTAATTTCAGGTAGCTACCTTTTGAAATTTTATTACGGTTTCTACTTTCGGAAATAGTTGCAGCAGGCATCATTACTTTGTAAACTAATGGATAGGGAAGAAAATAATATATTTGTTTGCTTAAATAATGTCAAACCCTATACTTTTAAATATAAATTTAATGAAATTCAATATTATTTATTTATTATTTTTACCTTTTTTCTATAATAAATCTAATGGAAATATGTTTATTTATTATATATATTATATATATCTGCTTATACATTGAGAGGAATTGTCAAAAAAAAAGTAGAATAATTTTTTATACTATGATTATGATATAGATTGCATATTCAATAAAATCGGCAATCTTTAAATCATAATTCTGGTCAAATTTTTGATAGTGCTGGTCAAATTTATAATGCCGGCCTAAATAGATTAAAAATCAACAAAAATTACTTTGTATATTCTTCCTGTTAATCTTGAGTTCAAAGTTGTAGTATTTTTAGAAATGTGATGACAAAAGTTTAGTTTATTTTTAGAACACATTTATTTGAATTTATACTTATATATTTTTTAATGGATACATATATCTATTTAAACCAAAATGTAAATGGGAAGAACATAATTATTTAATTGAAAAACTCTTGTCATAACAAGTATACTATATCTGATTATGAAATTAAAAAAATGCTCTATATGCGGTATCATATGATGCATTGACAATGGAGGGTGAAAGTAATTGGAAATGAAAAAATAAATAAAAGAAGAATGAAGAAGAATACTGAAATGGCAAAGGTAAGATTTTTTTTATAATAAA